CTGCACTGCATCATATTCTATTATATTTATTGATTTTGAAATGTCAGATGCTACCTGAATTTTGCGTTTCCTTTTAAATAAATATAAACATTTTCACCATAAATTGGCGCAGAAACTTTTACCAGAATGCAGGAAATGAAGTGTTTAATGAACAAAATTTCCTGGAGGAGGTCCCACCAGTCCCCCTGCTCATATATCGCAGCATTGAGGATATCTTTAAAACACTGTTTAAGGATCTTTTCATCTTGTTTTCATGAACCTATTATCGTGCATCGTGATGTCTCGCGAGCTAAGTGCATCTTCACACCCCTAATCTGAGGCCCTATGTCCCCATCACATTTCAACACAAAGTGATGCCCTTGCACACAAGACTGACAGAAACAAACGAGACAATCTAGCAAAGTGTAAATTGAGGTTAGCGACTAAAGTTGCCTTCAAAGTGAATGGTGTCTTCAGCTGAAAATGCTCTGTTTTTATGGCTTCGTCTGTAAGAACAACACCGCCAAGAAGCCTGACAACAAAAATTGATGCAGTTAATAGTAATCTTTGTTCCCATTTCAAGAGAAGTCAATGATTTTGTGTATTCTGCATTTCAAAGCCAAGGAACAAGAAAACAGACAACAAACGTTCACGGTGATGCTACAGTACTTGAAAACACCATAAACGCGCAAGGGATAATGAGTTGATTAGGCTCCAGCTGGAGTAGATCCACCCAGGTTGGGGTGGAGGTGGGGGGGCTACTGTGGTGTGGTGAGATATAAAGCATCAGAGAGCTGGATCAGAGTTGAAGGTAGTACTTGTTTCCCAATTTCATTGATTGTATCATTATTTTTGCAGTCCACACAGCGTTGTGTAAAATGTCAATCAAAGGCACATTTATAAGCTTAATTTAAAATACTTTTAGTCGTGAATTTTATCATTCTTTTTACTTGCATTTAAGGCATAATTTCCCTGTTAATGATCTTCTCGCCTTATCCTTTATTGAGAAGCAATTTGTACAGGTATGGGAGTTAAGAATAGTCAAAGCTGTGAGTAACAGCTGTTCTGGTGGTGATGGAGAGCCCTGCAGATGCAACACAGTGGGTGAGATTACACTTCTTCTTTGCCGTTCATCTCATTGACAGGTCTAATTATTGGCGGAGCAGGCAACTATCGATATGCATATGTTTAAGAGCGTTTCTACATCCATTTATATCCAACTGGGAGTGGAAATGGGGCTTGTGCATGTGTGCTCTGTTCCACAATGATCGAGATTTATAAAACAGAATCAAGCATTTTATTTAGTTTTATGCTTCTGGCACAAGGACTCTGGGTACCTGCCAAAACTGACTGTTGGGGTCTAGGAAACTAAGATCAGGACAGAAACTTATTTGGAAATCTTTTGCTGAAACTGAGCACAACAGTCAGTAGCTTTACTACTTGCCACCTCTGACATTTGCATTTCCCAATCTATGGACAAAACTAATGAAAATAAAAGAAAATTAGCAAAACTGTTATTGCAACCTTCCCAACCAAATTGAGCCCAGGTTTCTTTTTCAAGATTTGTTTTTGGTATTTCTGCTGTGAAGAGAGACAGGAAAGGCAGGGGGAGAGAGAGAAGGGATGACACGCAGCCATGGGCCCGGGATGGAGCCAAACCCAGGGACCCAGCCCTGTACCAGGTATACGCAACCTGGGAGCCCCAATTGGAGTCCAGTTTTCATCTACAATGGAAGTCCAGACATATTTTAGACCTGCATAGTACCAGCTATGCTTAATAGGTGCGTACACACACAGTCACACACACAAATGTTCCTAGGGTATACTTAAGTACATGCTAAATTATGAGTTCAAAAGGTTGCCAGAAATCTATTATACAGGTTCTGTCATTTCAATCTGCACTGTTCACCATAGAAATGAATCGTGAGTTAATAGATAGCTGTCGATGAGCAATCACAGAAGGTGAAAAAACATGAGATGGAGCTGTCACTTCAGTGTAGTAAGAGCAAAGACCGGTTGTAATTCATAAAATTGATATTTGATCTGCCTTTTTTCCATTTCTCTCTTTTACATGCGCGCACACACACACACACACACACACACACACACAGATAGTAAAAGTGAAATGAGGATGATATGTTCAAAAATGATTCTTTCAAAATGATTGAAAGTGCATATTGAAAATGACAAAAAAGTAAAGTACGTAAAGTAATTTTCCCAAGGTGCTAATCCATGGTTCAGGAATTGAGTACGTCTTTACTGACAGACTTGCCAATGTCTCTGGAGGCAGCGAACAGTGACTTTTCTTTGCAACAACTTTTGTCAAGAGCTACTTCATACCAGGAGGCGTGTACGGGGGACAGAGAATTATCATTGGGCCAATCGTCCTGTTAGTCAATCCATACTATTGAGTGATGTATTGACCAACCATCATTTTGATTACTGTGCCAGGTGGAACGGAAGCAGGTGAGTCCTGAGTGATCAATAGCCAACATTCACAGGTCTCGGCCTCCAGCTGAGAGTCGATTAGCTATAGGAGTCTTATGTTGAGCTGAATGTCTGAAAGACAATCAAAGCACACTCCAGCAACATCATAAGGATTTGTATACATCTTATTTCAAAAGGCAGACATTAATTTCTGTATCTGAGAATGAATTATAGTTAATTCTGCTTTAGTCAGGTAGGAATCTCATAAAGGCAAGGCAACTTTATATTTACAGCACATTTTATTATAGGTAAACTCAATGTGCTTTTCATTGAAGTGCATACAGACATAAGAACATCTTAAATAACAGCTCAAACAACATCGACAACCACCCACCTCCAAAAGACCCAATCAGTCAATACAGTTTATTGGTTCAGGAAATCAATCCACACAGATGTAGACAGATACAAGTGTCTTATTTCTTGCCACCAACCATTGATTTTGCTGTGTGAACAGTCACTGCCTTATTGATTGACGTTAGTTAGTCAGTTACACATTAGCTCCAGGAGCTCTGGCTACATGTTTTGAAACCAGAGCCCTGTAAGATGAAGCCTTGCTAAATACTAAATACTATGCTAGTTGACCCTTCTGTTACATAAAGTGCAGTATGCTAAGATAAAATTTAACATCAATGATTTCACTATATTGGTTTTGTCTACCTTGTGTTCTGTTTCATCCTAGTCTGTTTCCCTGTTTGGTGGTAGTTTATTTGTATTATTAGTTTCTGTCTGCTCTCCTGTGATCACTCTGTGTCTGATGTGCCTAATTAGCTCCTCATGTCATTCACCCGCACACTCCCTCCCTGTTCGTTTGCTTGTGTATTTAAGCCTTCAGTTATGTTCAGCCTTTGTGATGTCCTTGTCAATGTTGAGTGTTCCTGCCTGTTAAATTTTTTTTTTTTTTTTGATTATTCCATGACTTCTGGACTACTCTGTAGTTTTGGATTTGTCCCGTTCGGATTACCTTGCCTTTTGTTTTGGACATCCATCTGAGTGACTACCTTATTTAATAAACTAGAAAACTGATCCAGTCTTTGTTAGTGTCTGCATTTTGGGTCCACACCTCAGTTTCCTGCTGCTGCACTCAGCTTCTCATGACAATTGATGATATTTCTGCTTTATTGTTTGTATATTCAACCTATATGTCTCACTTTCAGCTTTGCAAAAGAAAAGGCTTTGAGGGTGAGGACTAACCTATATGTTTGGCAAACGTGACGCTATCTCAGAAAACAATTGGGGGTGCCACGGCCGAAATATCACCTTCCCTCCATCCAATAAGGAGCAGGACATAACTTTTTATTTTCTTCTTCTTTTTTTCTTTTTTTGGGGCAGAATAATTGCACAACATATGTAATAGAAAAAATAAAATAGAAAAAATAAACAAGAATTTGATTCAGAAGTTTTAATTAATTTGGGTTTTTATGTAATCAACCCAGGGTTCTGACCCCATCTGTAAAATTTGGTGACGTCAGGCAGGAACCTGGTGACACCTTTTAGTTACGTGAGAACTACCTCCTTATTTGTGTGTGTGTGTGTACTGCATCATCAGCGAATGTGACAGAGTGCTTACTGCTGTAGGAAAAAGAACGTCCGGGGAAAGACAGGCTGCTGAACTGTACTGTCCAGGGATCACACTGAGCAATCGGACCACAATGCACTGCAGCGGCGATCAATTTAGAAGCGAGGAAGTGTGCGAGGGACACAGGAGGTGGGGGGAGGGTGGCGGCCTGGAGGTCCCATAACAGAAAGGTCATAGGTTTTATCCCTTGAGGAAGCAAGAGACTTCCATTAGAGACGGGACTCCAGCACTGTTTGAAGTCACTCTGCTGAGAGCTGTTTGGAGGATGTTTGGTGACTAAAAGCAAGTTTTAGTCAAACTTGTTTAGACCACTTTACTTGAACTCTGGGACTTGCATCTTGTGGATGAAATAGCAGTGACATGAAATTAGAGGAAACATGGTTCAATCAAGATACAAACGTGTTAATTTTCAAAGGAATCAAAACAAAAATGCAGTTGTGAATATTTGTTTAAGTTTTCAAGGTTATGTCCACAGTTATGGAAGACCAACACTGACTTATTAAGAAAATTAAGTAATAACTGCAGTAAATGAAATGGTAAAGACATCGAACATCAAAATTACTTGAATTAAATTCATTAAATGAATGAAATTAATTAAATATATTGACTTTTGATGTGATTAAATTTTTTTAATTGGATTTATTTGTGCAGATTTATATCAGAATATATCTGCTGGATTGGATTCAGTGTGACCTTACTGTACTGTATTAAAAAAATAAATTAATTTGCACTCACAAAAAACAAATTATGGCTTATCAAGGAAAACCTCAAAGATATAAAAAAAAATGTATTCAGTGTTATATATATGACCATATTATTTATTCATTAACTTATCTATTTATTTACTCCACTATACACCAGTTTGGTCTTCCATTCCCCTGATTCCCGTGATTTTACAAAGACATCTGTAACGTAGTAACTGATAATGATGGAATACACATGAGAGGAGACTTTAATGTTGGCTGTTCAATACATTTATGGTTTGTAAAAGAGAATTACTCAAATTTTACTTTATTATAAAACAGTGGAGGCCATATTTGCATGTTTCATTAATAAGCTGCTCTAATGTTACAGTATAATGCAGTCAACATCACATACAGCGGCGTGACTACAAGAGCTTACAGCTGAGAATGAGAGAGGATTTTTTCACACACACCCACACACATAATAACGTGTTTTTAAAACATTTTTGTATGGGATTATTTATTCAAGGACTTGGTCTTTCAAATTTGAGAGCATAAGTTTTTGATTTCACGTTTAGATTTTGTAAAACTACCGGCAGCGCATGTAGATGAAGCAGCCGGCAGCTCCTTTAAACATCGCTACACTTTTGTTTTTAATCTGTTTTTTCCTGCTTTATTGCCTAAATATGTGCTACCTTTGACAGAAATATCATTGGAAAAGAAAGCCGGATTTTGGATTAGAAAATAGGGATAGGAGCCATGTTGGCCCAGCTCAGATGTCAGGTTGCTACTAAAGGTCCGCTGTGGAATAAAATGGGATTCAGGTTGGCCAAGCAACGTAATACCCATGCTTGTACTGCAAAGGTTGTAAAGAAAGCAACTGCCCCGTATGGGACGCTCTAGGATGTAAAGCAAACATGCCAGCAACGAGGCAGGGATCATTTCACTGGTCAAAAATACACCTGGCCTTTTACTGAGGGATTTTGACTGGGTTATTGCACAAACAGTCCTAGAGCGGAGTAGAAATCTGAGAGTAAATGTTTCACAAGCACACAGAAACAGCCTGAGCGCGAGGAGAAGAGCTGAAGCTGGTGCACAGGAAATCTGTGCAAGAACAACATATCTGAGTGCAAGCAAATGGTTTGAGAAGAGCAAATCTAAGCGCAAGCAGGGTCTGTTTGAGTGCGAGGGCAGGGTTTTAAGGGAAGCATAACAATGTGAAATCAATAAGTCATGCACTCAAACTGAAAGATCACGCACTAGAAAAAATATAGGAAAATAATCCCATTTTTTTGCCCACAATGTTTGTACAGAAATTTGCTCACTTTTAAAAATGTTGTCTAAATTGTATCTCGGACAAGAGAGCAACCTTTAACTGAAGCCCCTTATCATGCACAGTAGCTGCAAGAATGAACATTTTGTTTTGTCTTTATATATTCGTTCAGCTGCTTATAACTTTTATGCATCTATGCGCCAACATACACACTATCAAGTTCTCTAGAACCACTAGCTGCAGCGCTAAGCACACAAGCACACACTGAATGACAGCAAAGGCTTCAGCATGTGTTTATGATTATCATGCAGCGGTAATTGTTATAGGAAGAAATACTACACATCCATTTTAGGTCCATTAAATATCTTATTTTCAGAGGTTCAACTCAGTGCCTAATACCCTGTATTCATGAGGAAATGGTAGATCTCTTCACAATTTTGTTTTGGCAAGAAAACCTGAACTATAAATGTCAATCCATTAACCATTTCACAATAAAAGCCTTTATAAAGCCTAGAAAAGCTTTGTTTGAAACACAAATGATACATTGATAATACTTAATTTGCTATCAGTCCATTTCAGTATCTTATTCACTTCACCGACTAGATAAGTCGTCTATCATCTTCTGACCAGCAGTTAAAAAATATCCGCTTGTGTGTCGACACACTCATTAAAGTGCTATATACACACACAAATCTTATCTGTACATCTTCATAAAAACATACAAGTACAGCTATTACGTCAGCAGACATTTCCCTGATTTTATATCTTTTCAATAACAGCAAAAAGGCATGGGCATTTACAGTGTTTGTAAATAAATGTAAAAGCTTATGAACACACACACACACACTCACACACCTGAACATGCATGCATTCACAGCAGACCCAGAAACATAAATTCCCAACATTAATATAATAATACAAAAGCATAAATAGCAATTGTTCAAGTAAATGGTGTGACTCATTCAACACGCTGCTGTTTGCTAATATGACCATGCATGTGTATGACACAGGTAGTTATATTCACAGTACATTGTGAGGCACATATACTGCCTTATGTCCCTCAATTCATTAAAAAGCATCACTGTGTCTCGAGTCCATGGAGTGGTGAGTCATCCATTACGGACGTGTTGATCCAAAGGAGCTCTTCAACAGTCGATTGACGCTCAGCGTGTCCTCCTGCTGTCACTTCCTGAGAGACAGATTGAGACAGAGATGTGACTGCAAACCCTCTAACGAGATGTTTGTGAAACAGTTCAGATTTTTTCCATCCAGATTTAAGACAGATTTTCTGTATTAACAATGGAACAAATTTCAGTGAGACAAGGTTCGCAGGTCACGATGTACCCACAGGAAATGATTACTCTACTGATCCCCTCAGCTTTACAGAGATTGTTAATTTTTTGCATTATTTAGCTAATTGTTTCGTAAATAAAAGTATGCATCTGCAATCATACACCAATGGTACAGCCATCGGGAGCAATTTGCCAAAGGATACTTCGACATGCAGACTGGAGAAGCCGGGGATCGAACCACCGAGGTCGTGGGCTACAGCTATATGATTACATGTGACAGATAAACTTGATTGATAAATAAACATGTTTACAGATAATGAAAAGCGAATATAAGGAGAATAAAAGTAGTTCGGAAACTGAGGCACACCGTACTTGTTTTGAGTCCCACTTGTTCTAATCACTATTTCAAAGAAACATCACACATGACAACCACTAAACTGACTTAAATATAAGACAAATCAGTTTAATTTAAGAGCAAAACTTCTCAGAGGAGCTCTCACAGCATGTGGGCACTCAGACTGGGCGTCTTAACATTGACAAGAGCACCAGACAAACAAGCAGATGGGAAGGAGAGCAGATGGAGTGACATCGCCATCCCATATGTGGTTTTGTTGTCAGAGAAACTCTGGAGGGTTTTGTAACTGTCGCTGCATTGTTATGTTTTTAAAACTCAGCAGCACATTAAAACAAAAACAGAGTCCAATGCAATGAGGAATTCCCGGGCCATATACACTATATATACACATTACAGAGTAAACAGCAGCTGCATACTGTACAGTACCAACTGGCATAGTTTCTGTTTTGCAGACTTACTACTAAATAATATAAATTAGAGCCTATAGACTGTTGTTTATCTTTTTACCAGTTTAGTTTTTCTTACATGCTTCGATGTGGTCCGTATGTGTCCAGCATGAGCGTGCTGGCCTCCTCCAGGTTCCAGCGGCAGCGCTGCAGAAGCTCCTCACACTCGGCTCTCGACCGCAGACCCAGACAAAACAACTGCTCCACCTACAATACAGACGGTGACAAGAGGCATTTTACGCAGGAAGGTAGGCACTTTTTTTAAATTTGTGTTTTATGTATTTTTTATTTTCCTGAACATGTTGTAGCTGATTTTATTCTACTTCAACACACATTTTAAGCATCTGGGTAGTGGCAGAAGTTCAAGAATGGAGCCTTGCAATAGTTCGGGCAGGCACAGAAGTAATTTTATGGTAAAATATTCCATTCATCCTCCAATCATGTATGTCCACAACCTGTAGTATCTCTCACAATACATAATCAACATAAGTTTAACTTCCTCCACCTCTCCATCTACAAGTAAAGTCAGTGAAACACAAAGTAGCTTCAAAATACAAGTACTCATTATGCAGTAAAATGGTCGCTGTCAGTGTTTTACTATTATACATAATGTGTTTGGATGAATATTGTCATGGTTTTAGGTTTAGTACTGTTTCCTGTTGTTTTCCTTCACCCTAGCCACAGTCTGTTCACTGAGACTCCTCAGTTCATCCTCAGCACTGCACCATGTAAAATACTTTTATTTCTATTTCTAACTTGTTATTTATCCAACCATCTACTGTATATAATGTGTTTGCTTGTTGTGAGTAGCATAAAGGGAATTACAACTCAATCTCGTTATACAACCCTTTGTTGTAAAATGATAAATCTACCTTATAGGTTTGTTAAACCCTTCCTCTTGTGTCTGTGTTTAAATCACTTTCAGTCTTTTGTGTTTTCCCTTTCTCTACATTTGATTGTATTTTTTTGATTGTGTTTTTGTCTTGTGATTTATTCATTCGTTCTGTGTTTCCTGTCTTTTGGATTATGGATTGTGGATTGCCTGCCTATCGGATTTGGATTTGTTTGTCTTTTGTTGGTACTGTACTTCAGTTTTTGACCTTGGTCTAACACAACTCTGAGCTTATTCACCCTTTTGTTCTGTCATTTTCTTAATAAATACTACAAACTTCATCTGCTTCATCTGGTGCATTCTGGATCCGATCTCCTGTATCGCTGTGTGTCTACGCTTGGCAAACCATGAAAAATATTCCTGCCTGTTTTGTATTCTTGTGACGATGCATTATCTCGCTGATCCAAGGGAGATTTTAAAATAGTTAGTTAAGTAGTAGAATTTTCTCAAGCAATGAAGTAATGAGGGAACTGTAATCTGAAATGTACAATTGTAGTAAAATGTACAATATTTGCCTCTGAAATGTAGTAGAGTAGAAGAATAGAGTTGCATAACATTTCTACTTAAGTACACAACTTATGTATAGTTACATTCCACCACTGCTGCACAGCCTACATGTGTCCTAACATTTAGTCGTTTGTACATTTTGAATATTTCTTTTGCATACGTCTTTATTGCTCAATAAATGTTGTGTATCTCTGTGTCAAGCCCGTTCAGATCTCCTCCAGTGCATCACATGAGCAGAGCCACACCGCCAAAATAAAATGCATACTGCTGCAATAAAAGACTGTCCTGTATGAAAATTTCATATCACGATTATAGTGACCAAAATTATCACGGTTATCAGTATTATCACGGTATTGTAAAAATGTGCCAAAAAATATTAAAATGTACTGATACACACACTGAAACCATTTCAACAAGTTTTATATTGAAAACTACAAATACAATTGCCATTTTGTCTGCATAAAAAATAAAATAAGAAGCAAATACCTTCTGTAAACACATGAAAATGTGCACTATCAACATTTTATATTTTATAGCCTAGGTAATACAATGACCCCGTGCATAATTACATGAAAACACATAAGTCTTTAGAAGACAGTGATAGTAACTGCAATGAGCCCAAAAACTGACAGAAATACAGCGGACTCTGTAGCGTTTCTAACTGATGCTGGTTGGTTGACAAAACTGCGCAACGCGTTATCATGTGCAGTGGACGAATAGACTCTGCCGACACACTCAGCAGCAGAACAACGTGTAGCGTTTTTACAAGAGCAGCAACACTGACGATTTTCTTCAATCAAGTTTCAGCGCTCTCAAACAAACCAAAATACGACCGGACTTCAGAGCGACTGGAAAATCTCTGCAGCGTTGTCTTCCGCCGTCGTTGACCCAAACAAACCCACGTTGCATTCTGCTTCTGGGAGACGCTGGACAGTGTTTGCAGTGAGGTTATAATAACGCGGTTAACCGTACCCGGTTATCATGGTAATGTGTACGGTGATAATAACCGTCAGGAATTCTACCATCGTTTACCATTAAAAAAGTAATCGTTTCATCCCTACCTGTCAAATTGCATACTTGCATACCTTTCCCCCACTCAATCTATTTTTTGTATCATCTACTGTTGTTGGCCAATGCTCTGCCATTGTGGAATGTGTCACCAGGAATTGAGATCCACATTATTTCCTGGGAATTCTTGGCTAAACCTACTCCATCGTCTGGGGCTTCTGTGTTTAATATCAAATTTAATTTACGGTGACCGAAGTATTTCCGCATGAAAGAAAAGCATTACTTCTGTAAAATAACCTTAAAAATCACAGGAGAAACTTTGTAGCCAATGTTATTTCGCTTTTTTTGTTTTAGTGTACCTGATGACAACATCTTCTTGAGGACATACAACAGACGGAGTTTAGTCTTCAAGGCTAAGAAAGTAATTTAAAAATGGAAAAAGTATGACAGACGTGCACCTTCAAATGATTTATGGCCTGAGGGATGCTCCAGTTGTGACTCTGCAGAGCTGCCTGACACTCCTCCAGCGTGACACCGTGAACTGCTCCTTGGACCTGTCAATCATACCATGAACTTACAATGAATGGAGGATGAAAGTGAAAAGTAACATGACTGGACCTGTGGATTGTTTGTATTTTCAATAATGGTGAATCAGTGGTAAAAGTAGAAATGTTCCATGATCAGTATTCACAAGCAGGAATGACAACTGAAGATGATATCAAATGTAAAATTATTTCTTTATACAGGCTGTTTAAGAGACAGACAGACGCCTGCTGGTGTGTCGTGATTTGCTTCTGATCTTTTGCACATCAGTATTCTTCAGACAACCGTCGTCAGGCTGACAGATATGCAAAAGTCACAACTTATTAAAATTAAAATAAATGTCACCCTGAATAGTCTCAGAAGCAGAAACTGAAATGTTCTCTATAAAAAGCATTTAACAGTTTTAATGTTAAACTTACTCAGTCACTTTCACAACAAATCTAATTTGCAGTTCATCATCAAGTGCAAAAGATTTACAAATTACCCGACAGGACTGCAAAGTTTACCCCCCACCCAAATACAGATACACAAACTATGATGAAACTCGTAATAAAGTTAAGAATTTGTCTTTATGTCTAAATCAACATATCATCCATCCAGACAGTAAAGGAACAAGAGATCAAATTAGAATTTCCTGTTAAAAGCTTTTTGTGGATTTAATTGAAAAGGAAAATCATTATTTGTCTTCCTTTGGCATTTAAAGACTTAGTACTGATTAATAAATTAATATGTGAATATATGTATTGTTTTTGTTGATGTGGACAATACATATATTCACATATTAATTTATTAATCAGTACTAAGTCTTTAAATGCCAAAGGAAGACATCCAGACATCCATCCATCCATCTTCATCCGCTTATCTGAGATCAGGTCGCGGGGGAGCAGCTCCAGCAGGGAACCCCAAACTTCTCTTTCCCGAGCCACATTAACCAGCTCTGACTGGGGGATCCCGAAGCTTTCCCAGGCCAGGGTGGAGATAATCTCTCCACCTAGTCCTGGGTCTTCCCTGAGGCCTCCTCCCAGCTTGACGTGCCTGGAACACCTCCCTAGGGAGGCGTCCAGGAGGCATCCTTACCAGATGCCCAAACCACCTCAACTGGCTACTCTCAACGCAAAGGAGCAGCGGCTCTATTGTGAGCTCCTCGCGGATGGCCGAGCTTCTCACCCTATCTCTAAGGGAGACATCCGCCTCAGGAAACCCATTTTGGCCACAAAAAAAAAGAAATACAATGTGATTAAATAAAGAGGAAAAGAGAGGTGGAAATACCACGTGTGCATTTGATTTTCCTCTCGCTTACCTGTGTGATGCTCTGCTCCTGTTGCACGCTGGGAGCTGCAGTTCGCCCGTTGTTGTTGTTGTAGGAGGAGTTTGGTTTGGCTCCACCGGGCTGCTGCATCATGGGTTTGACTGCCGCCATGTTGGCTGCGCCGTATCTGATTAGAAAACCGCAGATACAAAATATGGTTTGCATTACTATAAAGTAATGTTGTAAAAGATTAAAACGACTTTGAATGAAAACTGCACTTTCATTTAAATACTGAATCAAAGTTTTCACAACATGATAATAATGAGTTGATGTCAGTTCCCTTCACCTGGTTATTCCTGCATATCTCTTCACCTGTAGCTCATTTCCCCCGACTATTCCTCAGAATAAACTCCAGCCCCTTTCAATTGCTCCCTGCCAGGCTGTCGAGTGTCTTCAGCCTAACTATCCAGCATTATTCTGTTCTTGTTTCTCCCTGACCTGCAAACCCGGTATTCTGTACACTGAACTTTATTTATATATTGTCTGTCTCTGAGTCGTACTTCCAGGTTTATATCTGCCAGTTTCTTCAGACTTAATGTGAGATTCTTTTGTGAACTTTCAAGGTCAAGAATGAAATTTGAAACTAAAGTTATTTTTTTAAATCTTGGTAAAAAAAAAAGCTATACAAAGAAATTTAAAATGGGTTTAAAATAGCTGTTAATTATAATAAGTGAATAAGAATCAGACTTAAGAGTCTATTATAATATTACATTAAAATTTTATACAAAGACTGTAAAAGAAAAGACTTAAAATTTACATCAAACTCAACTTTGGTCACAATTTGAGTTCAGTGTTTTACATTGTGGTTATAAAAATAGGTTTAATCACTTTTGTCATTTATTTTCTCTTCGTAGAATTATATGTTGTAGTTTTAATTTGTTTCCAATTTATATATTATTCCATGTGTTTATTTATCTCTTATTATTGTGCAAATAACGCTGATGTGAATTTTGTTTTACTGTAAGGACCACAGGAAGATTAGGAACTGCTGGAATCCCAAAAAACTAAATAAATTGCTATGTATAGCAACCTCAAATAAAGAGAGAAGAGATACACACTGAAAATATCTGAGGTGACCTCAGACTGTGCAACACAAACTTAACAAGTTGGCTTAAACTTCAGTCAGGCTGTCAGTCAAACGGCACTTTCTCACCTCTGGGTGCTACGTGAGCTTTCATTTTGAAACTGTGGTACTGTGTCACCTTCTTTTAGTGTTTCTAGGATTTTAGGAACAATCTATTCAAGACTCTATTTAGCCCAAGTCCCATAATCATTGTCTTTGTCAAAAAGGACTTGGAAACAAGGAAAACTAAGGTTACACTTAAGGGAAAGTTTATTCATTTGAATTGAAATTAATCAAACACTTTTCTCTTTAAGTCCAAATGAAAGTGAACACGGAGAGTAGCTCCGTGAGTTATTGTAGCTCATAGGGCACTAGTTTCACGATAAATTGCCAGCTAACAAAGCTAGATGTTTGGTAAGGTAGGAAACTAACGTTAGCTAGTGAATGATTGTATTTCCCAAAATGCTGAACTACTGTTGAACTATTCATGCAATTTAGTTGATTAGGGACTTTACTGTCCATGTTATGGAAAATAATTTTTGGCTTCACCACATTGTATTTAAAACAATAGAGGATAAGATAAGGACACATGGAAATATTAACAAACATCATAATACATAAATACAGTAAACAAAAAATTTAAAATAAAGTAAAACAGAATAGGGTCAAAGTTGGCTAAGCATTTAGATATTTATGATACTAAACAAGATTGTTGAAATGTCAATAAACATATTTTATTAAAGATTATAAAATTCCCTTTATCCTAATAATTAGAGTGGTAGAGAGTAAATGATATTTGATATCAGTAACACACCTTTCCAGAAAAGCTGGGCGTTCAGGCAGCGGGTGGGAGCAGAGCTCTGGGGGCTGTCAATCAGTGAGGAAAGGCCACGCCCCTCACGGTAGGCCAAAGGATCCACTAACGAGCTGGATGCGTAGGAGGAACCACGAGCTGCGAGCCGTGAGGAATGCGATGTGACTTGAGGCAGGGAGGAGGTGGACGAGTTGGAGGACAGAAGGGGACCCAGGAGTCCGGACGCCCGGCGTGGGGAGACGGAGAGGGGAGGAGGGGGCAGGGTCACGGGGGAGGAAGAGAGTGGCGGCACCAGTGGGAGGGGAGAGGAGGAGCGGGAGCCCGGCTGAGAGAAGGCGTGGTCTCTGGGTGGGATCTGTGGAGGCGTGTCTTCCGGGTCACCCAGGGAGATGGAGCTGGAGCGCGCCTGCGGGTGGTTGGTGCGGGTGGAGAGATTGTGCCTAGAGGGACGCAGCGGGGGGACGGGGCTGCGAGGAGGCAACACCGGGCGGTCCTCAAAGCAGGAGGCGAAGGAGCAGGTGGAGGTGGATGAAGGGGAAGGAGGAGGCAGACAGATCTGTCGGTGGGGGCCCAAAGGAGCCAGGGGCAACGGGAGAGGGGAGGAGGGGAGGGAGCGGCCCGTTGCCATGGGAACCTGCAGCTTCACCATCACCTACACTCACAAAGAGAGACAGAAAAATCAGCATAGATACATACACACGTGTCTGTATGTGTTGATCATCCATGCGTTTACTTTCTCCACCTCTCTCTGCAGTTCTTGGAAGAGGTCAGCTGACTGCGACTCGCTCCTGCCTGCCATGGTGGCGCCGGGCGTTACCGCGGTCTCTTCAGTCAATCCCTTGTTGATAGACCGCACCTCCTGGTCCTCTGATTGGTCCTCGAGCTCCGCGGTAACCTCGTCGTAAGCTGGCTGAGGAAGGGGCCAGTCCAGGATGGACGGAGTGTCCTGAGGATGAAAGCGATCGACATTGGAAAAGCAGAGTGAAAAAATGAGCTGCTGGCTTCTGTTTCAGAAGTCATTCAAAGTCTCACTGACATTTGTAAAAACACTGATCATTTAAAATCCTTGCACAGAGCCTTTCTGTCATGTTTGTATGTCATGTGGATCGCTTTTTATGTTTAGATAAGGAGGGTAGTTCTTCTAGTATTGTTTATTTAATAGTTCTCTTTTTTAGTTGCCTTTAACGAACACCATTTCCCATAAAGCCTAGACTTTCATGGGAAAATGTCACAGTTCAACAAAACAGGTGAGTCCATGAGCAAGACGAACGGTCTCTGTTAGTTCAGACCCAGGCAGGATGAGAGGACTGAAGGCAATGAATGGTTTTAGTTTTTTTTTTAACTAAGTTACAGTTGTGCTGGTAAGTTTTATAGGAGCTGTGTTTTCTTCTGTGCTCGTGGTGAATTGTTCAACCTGAATGAACAAGTTTTACCTTGTTTTGCCTTTTCTGTAGAGTTTTACTAATTTTTACAGCGACAGTTGTGCACCATGTTCTAACTTCTTAGAGATCAAGTAAATTAGTTTGCTGGCAAGGCTACCAAAAACTAGACAAAAGTTTCTTTCCATACGGCATCACTCTGATGAACAATTAACTCATCACTCATATAGTGTCAGAAAACAATCCCTGTGAAATAACACCGTAACACTAAAACATCCACTGCAAGTTTATTATATATTTTATAGTTTATACACATTCACACAGATCAGTATCATCATCACCACTGCAAATACAAATCTAAGCATGCTGTAGACAAAAATATATACAAGCAAACGTTGTAGCTATATCATGTATATAAATTATTATGTTTATATTGTAGTTAAATGTTTATAACTATATTTGTTCAGCTTTTATGTCCTTTTGTTTAGCTTAATGTTTATTTCTGTGTAAGTAAATTGAGAGCAACCAACACTTTCATTTGTCTATTTCGCCTTGCAGGTCATCGCGGTCCCCCAAGAGTCTCCCACTACTTCAAAGATTTATTTATAAATACCACATCATCTTGGTATCAAAACTGAAGCAAATCAAAATGTAATTTGACTTTATTTTGTTTAAATTGCTTACAAATGCTCTTCCACCATCATCATATCATCAGGCAGCTTTTATGCTTCTTAGTAATTTCACATTTTTCTGTGACAGGTCAGACTACTTTCACTCTCGTAACTGTACCTTCAGTGTGTCCTCATCTGGCTGCCTCGTCTCAGTGAGCGGCGAGGGCGTGGTCGAGCTGAAGCTGTCATCGGTGAAGTCGATGAGCGACACCTCGCTTTTGGCCGTGCGCATCCCGGACCCCTCCCACGGCCGGAGCTTCAGACCCAGGGACACTCCCAGCCTCTTCAGCCCAGACGAGGCACTGAGGTCGTCATCGTCTTCGTCATCGTCCATCACAGAGTCGTAGAACGGCTCTGGACACACATGCAAACACCAGAGTCAGGAAATAACAATAGCGTTGTTTTTAAATGCGGGACTGCAGACTTTAGAGAGGACAGGGTAAGAAGAAATAAACTTACTCTTCAGCAGAACGGCCGGCTGAGGCGGACGAGGAGGAGGTTGCTCTGATAAAGAGAAAGAATGAGCTCAGTTTTCTACATGATCATTTACAAACACTGTACATAAACATATGTGTTTAAACTTTTGGAGAAGTTTACTCTTGGCACGGTTGGGGAGTTTGGTCGGCCTCGAGATGCCCGAGTCTATCCCAAGGACATCAGGTGGGTCCATGGGATTCCCCAAATACAGACTGAAAGGGAGACGACGAGAAGTATATTAGATTTAACGGAAAGAAGTAGCCAATGGGCCAAGAAGTAACTGAACAGATTATTTCTTTAACATGTTATGCCCCGCCCTTTGGTGGCAACATGGGGCAACCCCAACGCTGACCCAAACTTAACACACAAACACCTTTAAAACAACCAAATCAAGGGAATTTATTAACATAACAAGACAATAAATTAAAAACACCAAAAACATAACATAAAAATGCCCCAGCTGAAAGGTAGAGAGACCAGCAGTCACAAATCAAAAAGCCTCCTTTCTAATGCTTGTACAGGCACTTTTAAAGACCGCCTTCTAAGGCCAGGTGGACCTCATTCAGCAATCAGCTGAAGTACTTCCGAGGCAGAACTAGGGCAGAAACGGAACATGGAGAGAGCAGCCGTAACAAACAAGGGTCGTAAACACTTTGGTTCTGTAATTGCTGATGGTAAAAATGGAATTGATTATATTCTTATATTCTTGCAGCAGCTGTGAGTTTCTCTGGATATAAGCGAGTTCTGAAAAAAACAAGTACAACATCTGTTGGTGAACGAGGAGTGATGCGATGCTGCACTCCAGTGGACAGAGATGGAAGAAGGAGTACTCATTTGCTTAAGCAGAAGTAACAGAAGAGTCCTGCATCCAAAATTTTACTCAAGTAAATTGGCATCAAAGTATAAAATATATATAAAATATAAAATACTTAAAGTCCTTATTATGCAGAATGAGCCTTTTCAGAAGAATATGTATCACTGTATTACATTTAATGATGCATTTACATGTAAGCATCACTTAAACAGTTGAAAGTAACTTACGTACATTTACTCAAGTACTGTACTAAAGAACAATTTTGAGGTACTTGGTCTTTACTTGAGTATTTAAATTTTCTTATACTTGTACACTGTTTTATTACATGATGTAGTACATCAAATTTCAAAAAAGTATATTTACTTTTAATCCATCACTGTCACTTCACCGGAGACAATACTGCAGTATTAGTACACTGTCTGTATACTGCTTGTACTGTAATTTTGAGTTTAATTGCTTTTTTATTTCTATTCTCATTTTATTTTATAAAAATGTCTGTAAAGATTCTCAGCAATCCAGGTCATAGTAATCCAAGACGGGTTATAATCAGAGGCAACTGGCCTCGGTTGAAGGCACTCGAAGGCGTTTCGCCTCTCGTCCAAGAGGCTTCGTCAGTTCTGCCTGACCCACCGGAGAGAGGCGCAATGTCTTTGAGTATCTTCAGTATCAACTCCAGTTGCCTTGGATTTTATTTTATATTCTTCTAATTATTTATTTTTTACTCTATTTATCTGTGCATGCTCCGTTCTTGTGCTACTGCAACACCTGAATTTCACTTCTGGGGATCGACAGAGGTTTATCTCATCTTAAAATGAACCTTAGTATAAAAGCTGTTTACTTTCACACTGTAAGAATAAAACTAAAGTCTTCAGTTACTGAGTGTTATTAACCTGTCGATGCGATCTGCATGTCCCCAGCTCCTGTGAGGGTCCGTGTCTCCGTGTCCAGTGTGGATGAAGGAGTGTTTGAGCGGATGGCTGATGTCGTGTGCGGAGAGACCGGCGACAGACGTCACCACGTGACGAGGGAACTGGCCGACACGCAGCGTCCCCCTGTTCTGACCTCGCCACCAGTAGTGCTCTGCCCTGAAAACACACATAACAACCCCGCTCTGAGCAAATGAGGGAAGAGTGTAGCGTCCCTAAAAGGCACTCCACCTTTGCACAATCTGTCTTTTCTTTTAAAGCCATTAAAGAATAGAATAAGCTCCCTGTCAATTTGAAATCCTGCACAGATGTGTTCTGTTTAGTGTTTATTCCTGTGTGTGTGTGGGTATCGAAAGGTTGTTGGTCCATCAGTAGTGGAAATGACCTGTCTCCTACTAAAGGACTGCAGATGGAAATTAGCTGGTACCTAAATCTGGTACAAAGCATCTCTTTTTGAGATTTACATATTTTGTATATCATCCCTGATATAAATACATTTTATAAACTAAAACTAAACTACTAGCAGAAATACCATTCAACAATAATGTGACTTTCCTGCAGTCTGCCACATGAATCCACTTAACGTATAACTGACAGCGGAAATTCAGACTAAACAAATGTGAGTCTGTCAAATCAGCAGACGCCACAATATTTCTATAATGAACCAGTAACAGGACAGTAATTAGAGTAATTTTCCACAATGTAAGGAATCCAACTTGTGTTGTATGTGTTCCTTCATCCTGCGCTGACACACTCGAGCATGACTTCTTCAAGAATTTTGTTAAAATGATAAAAAACTTTTTGTGCAATAATTAAATAACAAGTTGAAGGATTGTGACAATTTTCTACACACTGACCTCCCCTCTATTATGGTGATGATGTCGTTCATTTTAATCTGGAGCTTGCCTTCCTCCTCAAAGTCCTGCAGCGCTCTCATATCTGTAGGCATGGTCTGCAGAGCACACACACACACACACACACACACACACACTTACAGTTTGGTTAAAAACGCTGATGAGTTATCACTGTCATCAGCAGGGTCATGGAGTCAAACGGAAGAAAAATACTTCATGTCATTTTGTATAATGGAGATTTATTTGTTTCCACTTGCTTCCCCTCTATTGTCCTTTATTTGCCTGCCGCTCCACTTTGGTGACAAATTAGCTCAAAGCTATTCAGAGCACAATTAATCTGAGTGGTTCACTTGATCTGGGTTTTTTCTTTTTGAATAAGTCCGATCTCTGTGGATATACAAGATTTTCATGTGCAGAGAACTGATATTTCTTTCATACAGTCACAATAATAACACTGTGGGTTCTTGTCTTTAGGAAAGAAAATCTGTATAAACGTGGTTCATTTCTATGCTGTTTGTGAAACTGGTTATTGCTCTGTCACTTTTGTGTTTAAATAATGTCAGCTTTGATATACAGTATGTATCAGCTAACAACAACGGCTCTATTGAAAAACAATCCACTAACTGAAGCACATGTTGAATTGCTAAAAAACATGCTAAATTGCAAACTAACAAAAATCTGGCAGAACAAGCTGTCTGATGCTTCTTATCTAAAATAATCTGGTCTACCATCTTAAAGGAAAATTCAATCTGAACAGCTACACAATATGTACATAATAATTTCCAACGCTTCTCTCGTCCAAACAAAAGTACACAGAAATTAGTCCCCTAATAGCCATTTTAGCTCGCTAGCTGCTTTTTCTGGGGCAACTTGCCATAAAGCCGGAGGCTCGTGTTGCTTTAGTATACATGGTTTTGAATAGGAATTCAGAATTTCCCTTTAATAACTACATTTCTGAATGCATCTTTCAAATCACACTCACCTTTAAAGTTACTGTACTCAGTTTATGCCACAGTAACATTTGTGCTGCCTCTCTTACAGTGTATCACCTGTTTTGTCTCTGTTTTGGACATTTTTACTGAAAGATGATGTAACTACAAGCCTTCATTCAGTTGCCTTTTGACTAAAACTAGTGTGCTACCTCGAGCAGGAAGTCTCTGAGGGCGACAAAGGTCGGCCTGTCCTCGGGTTTGGGGCTCCAGCACTGCAGCATGACGTTGTAAATGTCCTGAGGACAGTCGTCTGGTTTACACAGCCTCTCTGCCTCCACGTCCACCTTGTGGAGAATCTGCACACAGACACACAAATAACAGAATGCTGAGGAACAATTAATAGCTGGTGAATATTTTTGTAAGAAGCTGCAATTGTTTTGTGGTTTACTGTTTTAAAGAAAATGTTATCCAAAAAATGGATTCCTTTAATAGCAAAGTAGAAAATCCCATAGGAAAGATGTGTGTGCACCTGGCTCCCATTAAGGCCCAGCCACGGCTCCTGTCCGTGGGTGAACATCTCCCACAGTGTGACCCCAAACATCCAGGTGTCAGACGCGTGGGAGAAAGTGCGAGACTTCAGAGACTCTGGAGCACACCTGGAGAGAGACAAGGAAGAAGACAGAGTGAGTGAGAGAAAGGAAAACGATGGAGAGCAACACCAGAACAGTTTGAATCACCGAGGTCCGAAAACCAGGCTAAAAAACTACTCATTTTGTGCAACCAGGACGCTCTTCTCACCACGGGAAAGGGATTTTGTGGCCCTCCTCCATGATGTATTGGTCGTGTGTGTTGGCAGCGCCCTCATCAGGCCAAAGTCTCCGATCTTCACTGTTTCATTGGTGGACAGCAGAACGTTACGTGCAGCCAGGTCCCTGTGGAGGAAACGCCTCTGCTCCAGGTAGGCCATGCCGCACGCCACCTACACACACATACACAAACACACATGGTAACAAATTGTGAGGTTCATGTGAAGTGAAGGGTGGTTCCAACATTTGTGCTTCACTAGTGAAAGGAAATATCAGAAAGAAAAAGTGGTGGAATGTAACAAAGTATATTTACACAAATACTTTATTAAAGGACTAATTAAACGTATTTCCATTTTATGCAAATTTCTACTTCTACTCTTCTATATCTCAGAGGCAAATATTTTACTTTTCAGATTACAATTTTTCATAACCCGTCCTCTCAAAAGAAACCACGTATCTACAAATGTGATTTTGAATTTGAATGTTTGTGATAAACTGGAGGGTTAAGTGTTTTTTTTAATGGATGAGAAAATGATCCTACTCCTTAAGATAAATAAACAATTTAAAACCCCCTGAGAATGCATCGCCACAAAGCTGAAAGTTGAGTTTTTTAGAGATACATGGTTCTCACAGGACAGCAACGCTCAACCTCAAACCTCTACAGCAGTAAAATGAAACATGAATATTACTGCAGCAGTAATATTAATCCAGAAACATCAGATGTAATAGTTAAACACTGTCAGGGAACATATTACTGCAGAATATGTACTTTAACTTTTAATATTGTTTTTGACTACTAGGACTTTTACTTGTAGTGAATTATCACATTGTTTTGCTACTTTTACTTCAGTAAAGGATCTAAATCCTCCGTCCACCATTCTAAAGACAGGGACTGACGGATCAGAGCAAAGTATCCTGTCACGGTTGTTAAAAATACTACTCTTGCTGATAAGGAACAGCAAAGTATAATTTACAATTTCTATACTTTACTAACTTTACTTCTGCTGAAACAGTCAGTTTCTGCTGAAACAGTCAGTTCTTTTAAATTAAGACTGAAGACTTTTATTTTTACCATTGCTTTTAATTAATATTTAAGATTTTTTAGACAACTTTTATTGTCCTGTTTTCTTTTTCTTTGTTTTTAGCTTTTTATCATTGCTTTTAATTAAATAGTTACACTGTGAGAAACGAGTAGGTAATTGAGTTGGGGGATTATGGGAGTGAGATTGAACAGAGTGAAGGAAGTGGTCTTAAATCTTGCGCCCAAGTGATTTGCTGGAACCTCTGTCCACCTGTAAACGCGCAGGTGGGTCCAGAGTATAACTGGGTCAAAGTGGCCTGCTGACAGACATGTCGTGGTTTCTCTGTAGTGTCCGAGGGTTTTTGGAGTTTCAGTGGACCCAAAGATTGCTGTGGACCCGAGTACAGACTAGCTAGAGAGAGTAGATTAAGTGTACTTCTCTGTTTATTCTCTTTTCAAAATAACTGTAGCTCAATTATTTGCTCAACCCCTCAGCCTGTTTTTATTTTCCATTTAACTCTTTTAACCCTGATTGTAACACTGTAACTTTTATATATTTTATGTTGCCTTTATGTTTTATGTAAAGCACTTTGAATTACCTTGCTGTTAAAATGTGTATACAAATAAACTTGCCTTGCCTTACTATGAATCATTAAAATGCTGCTTTACTGTTTGTCTTGACTTTGACTAATGTTTTAGAACAAAGCTTCATGTTCTGCTGGATGAATCTGCTGGAATTATATATTATATAAATAAATTCAGACACTGTGGAAGCAGATTGAGGGGTTTGTTGGGAATAAACTAAGGGACAAAGGAAGGAAACAGCAGCAAATATTTGATGAAACTGCGATTTATCACTTTCACTTCCTCTCGTGTGATATGTTTTTTGGTTTTAACTGACCTGCACAGCGTAGTTGCACAGAAAGGAGATGAGGATGTGACCCTGACGCTTTCTCAGACGATCCAGCAGGGAACCCAGAGGGGCCAGCTCAACCACCTGCACACGAACACGCACATATGGAAATAAAAATGCTCACCTTATTTACATATCCAATTTGTTACTTGGGTGTCTACTTTTTGTGGTCTGTGTGTGTTTGAGAATTTGTGTATGTGTTTTACCATCTTCATTGGCTGTGTGAGGACGATGCCGTACAGGCGGATGAGGTTCTGGTGACTCAGCGAATGCATGGCGTTCACCTCTCTGATGAAATCATCCAGACCGTCTGAATCCAGCACGCCTGCCTTCAGACACTTCACTGCCACTGACAACTTGAAACAGAGCGAGAGACGACACCGGCTTTACAACCAACAGAATAAGCTGCTGTAATTCAAACGCAGGCAGCCTTTGGACTGAGCGCTGATTGGCTAAGTTACCCCTCAGAGTTCTAATGGGACCAAGCAACCACGGCGAAATACAACCTGAGCTTGCGTTTCATACACTCAACACTCATGCACTCAACCGCATGTTACGTGTTTCTTTCTCTGCATCTCACCACTCTGCCGTTGGGCCCGGTCCACTCTCCTCTCCGGACCACCCCGAACGTGCCATCTCCCAGCCGCTCGAACAGCTGCAGCTCCGACTCTCTGATCAGGCAGGTGAGCGAGGCTCCCGGCTCGCTACTGGCTGGTGCCGCGCTGGACGACGCCCCCTGAGGGACGGGCTGCTGGGGGTCAGTGTCGGGACGTTTCACTGGAAACACCTACAAGGGCCCAGAAGAAAGCGGTGACATGATTTCCATCTTATGCTCATAAACAGCAAGATTTTTTGATTTGATTTATTTATTTATGGACCTGCTTGTTAAAACCACAACTAGATAAAGTAATATATACCTTAAGTAAATGTAATTAATAACCCATCACCTTAGTCGATATGTAGCCTTTAATATTATAGTAAATGAATTTGGACAGTTTATTGTTTGAGGCTGTGACTGGCAAAGCAGCTAGGTTATTGTTTACTTTCACAATATTGCAACCGCTGCATTGTCACTATATGTTGTTCAGAAATATACTGTGTGTTTTACTAAAATAAAAAAATATATATTGTCATTACATGTGATGCATAAGACTTACATCAATCATGGTCACCCTGCAAATGTGTGAGCCACATTTTGTCAGCCTTGGAGATCAGGTATCTAATAGAAGACTTTAAATTTAAATAAAAGTGTAACTTATCTCATTTGGCAGTCAAATGTTTTGTTCAGTTGGTGGTGAAACAGTGGTGTGAAGGAGTCAGAGAATAAATGTTGTGCTGACAAACTGCCTGGGAGCTCCTCCTCCCCTTCAATCAGTGGTGAACCAGGTGGAACAAATCTTCCAGGCAATCTGAGCGTGCCAGTACCTGGCTTTGGTTTTCAGTGGAAGGAGCATATATAGCACCACAAAACCAAGGATCTTGATCTTTGTCATTAAAGTGATTTTGCAAGACCAAGCCCTCCACAAAACTGTGAAGGACAGCCGGTAAGCGCCATATTGGCCATGTTTGATTAGATTGACTTAAGCAGTGCAGTGCTAATGATGCTCTGGAAAAACACAGACTCTTAACTCTTGCTGACTTTGATAGGACTTTTTGCAGTGGTATTTGTAAATTCAAATGTTGTTTGGTTTTATCAAACAAGTGGGGAAAAGGAAAGATAAGAAAATATACATTTGACAATTAAAATACCAACTGATTTGGTTTGGTATAATGTATCTAGTTGTGTGGCTACACACTAGTTGATACCTTTTTATAATAATTCTTTACTAGAAATATATGGCTTAAAACTAATGATTAGAAAGTAAATAGAATTTTTTACTACCAAAAATTATTAAATTATTAAAAAATATTTTGTATTGCATTTGACTAAAATGTGAATTTGACTAAAAATGTACTAGCTCTGATCATTTGATTTAAAACTATGGGTATTTATCTGGATAATATTTACTTTAAAATTGGAAACCTTGTAACTCAGACAAACATATTTCTGCCATTATGAGTTAAATGTGAATAATTTCATTTTGGCTGTTAACTCGGATAATAACTTGTATTTGTCATCTCTTTTGAGGTTTTTCACCTGTTTACTGCCCACCAAAGATTGGTTAATAAAAGACGAACAACTGATCCCATGGCTGTTGAGTGAAATCCAGTTAAGAACTTCATGTGGAGGGATTGTCCTTTTCAAGTGGGGAATTGCACAAGAAATAAATCACAACTTGACAAATGTTAAGAAATGCAAGACGGCATGTGTGAATGTAGTAACAGTAATTTGATCCGTCTTCGCTGGAACGTCAGAATGTGAGACCCGCTTTGGTTTAAAATTTTACATACTGTATGTGTTTGTGGTACTGCACCTTGCTCATCCAGGACTTGCGTTTATAAAGGGCTCTTCTCCTCTTCACTGCCTCCCAAAGCCTCCTCTGACCTGAGCCAATAAAATCACAAATACTGAACACATTATTTACTGAGATTTGTTTAGATTTATATTAGCAAATGACGGAAGAAGTATTTCTTCTTTTACTAAAGTAAAAGTACCAATACCACAATTAAAATTAAAATACTCCATTACAAGTAATCAAAGTCTTACTGAAGTAAAAGTCTCTGTGACTGATATATTATTAAGACAGCTAGTTAAGTCCAGTAGTTCCCAACCCAGGGGTCGGTCCCTTCCAAAGGGTCACATGATAAATCTGAGGTGTCCAGTGTTGATTAATGGGAGGGAAACATTTTAAAAAATACATTTCTGATACACAAATGTCATAATATTTTGAACTTTGGATGGATACTTTGCTATCAGTTCAAATTCCCTCTTTTGTTCTCAAACTGTTTGTAAAGTTGAAATGGGAAATGTCTATTTGGTGGAATTTCAAACAAATGCAACAAGGGGCAACAACTACACTCCAAAGCTTTTCACCTAATATGTAACAATGTATTTTTATAAGTTTGAAATACTTAAGAAAAGTGAAATATAGCCGCAAGCGGCAATGATCCAAGTCCAAGCACCGTCATTGCAATATGTGCCTGAGCAGTGGGTGGAATTTGCAACCCACCTGCTCTCTACGTACGGGCAATTTTCTTAGATTAAAACTTAAAAATGTAAAACTTTGGAATGAGAAATAACTATAAATGTAAATTTGTAATAAGCCATGCCAACTCTATTCAATCATTTGCAAATTGTATGCATCAACTTAGTAGTGATCCTTAATTTGTGCAAACAGAACAAAATTTAGTATGAATCTATGCAGCCAATTATGAGATATAAACTTTTCAAATTTGTGGTGCCCAGTAGTGGCACAAAATCCCAGGACTGCTCAGTGAAACTCAGACCTAGCATCTGAACACATGCTCCAAGTGTGGTTAAAAAAGCTAATTTTGATTTATGAGCATTTAGGTAAAATTTTACTTTTTACAATTTTCAGACGGATTTAAGCATAACTTTAAGATGATCCCACCAAAATTCAGGTCGAGTGGCCTAACGGACAAGTTCTTGAAAATAAGATCTTGAGAAAATTGAAGAAGAAAAAAAAAGTAGCAACATTTGACTTTTTATAGAGCAGAAGACCTTTGGAACAAAGATGCAGATGAATTAAAAGATTCAATCGATGAAAGAATTTTAACTCTACGGCAAGAATAATGAGAACAAAAACCTCACTGTTTGTACCCCTTATCATTACTGAGGACAATGAGCACTAATAAACTTGAATTTCTCAGTGAACTTCTTGTTTTCACTTAGCAGCAAGAACTGCAAAACTCAAACCCGGTGATACAGAAATAACTAAAATAAATATTCTTGACATTTCAATATGAATATGAAACATAGAGCCTGATGTTTAGGGGATACTAAGGGAATTGGAGATAAAAAAAAGATTAATATTGGAGTCACTGTAACATTTTCAATTATGTTAAAACACTATGCACTAGACAGTCCTACCAAATAGTTGCCTGGAGTAAAATGGAAACAGGAGGTACCTGGGCGTCCCATGCCGATCTTCTCCAGGTCTTCATTCTTGACGTAGTCGAAGTGGGATAGTCGTGTGACGTTGAGCTCATCACGGATCCGCAGTAAGTACTGCTGCAGCTGCACATCTGTCAGCAACTCCAGCAGCCACTCGGTGCCCTCCTCACACTGCATCTGTGGGCACACACACACACACACACACACACACACACACACACACACACACACACACACACACACACACACATTGTACATATGTACAATTTTAGCATACATTGATTAATTATTAAGTGTGATGGTGTGAGGTTAATGGACATTCTGTAATGTGCAGTGGAAACAAAGGAGTTACTCTAAATCATGGGTGAGAGTGCAGTAACTCCAGCTTCAGCTCAATACATTAATACCTCTTAAAAAACCACATTTACCTGCTATAACTCCATAAACACCACAACTTTTTCTTTTTTAACACGTCAGTTTTTATATAATTAAAGAAACAAGATATGAAATGTTAATTAGTGAGCTCTACAGACGGATTAATTAACTTTTGGACAGCACCAGGCTAGCTATTACCACTTGTTTCCAGTCTTTATGCTAAGCTAAGCTAACCAAAAACAAATAAGCATTTTCCCCCAAAATGTCAAACTTCTGCTTTATGTTGATTCCTTCAAACCAAAACTTTGTGTCAACTCTTCATTCATTTTTCACCTATCTGCATCTCAACATGATGTGCCAAGCTTTAAGTGGGAATGAGAATAATTTACCAGGAAATAACAAACTGGTTCCCTATCAAAAAGAATTATCCTCATTTTTGAGGATTTTGGTTGTCAGTGTCTACACTGAACAAAATTATAAACACTTTTGTTTTTGCCCCCATTCATCATGAGTTGAACTCAAAGATTTAAGACTTTCTCTATGTACACAAAAGGCCTATTTATCTTAAATATTGTTCACAAATCTGTCAAAATCTGTGTTAGTGAGTACTCCTCATTTGCCGACATAATCCATCCACCTCACAGGTGTGGCATATCAGATGATCAGACAGCATGGGTATTGCACAGGTGTGCCTTAGGCTGGCCACAATAAAAGGCCACTCAAAAATGCATTTCCATCACACAGCATATTGCCACAGATGTCGCAACTTTTGAGGGAGCGTGCAATCGGCATTCTGACTGCAAGAATGTCCAGAGCTGTTGCCCGTGAATTGAATGTTCATGTCTCTACCATAAGTCTCCAAGGCGTTTCAGAGAGAATTTGGCAGTATATCTAACAGTCCTCACAACGCAGACCACATGTAACGACACCAGCCCAGGACCTCCACATCCAGCATCTTCACCTCCAAGACTGCCTGAGACCAGCCAACTGGACAGTTGTGGCAACAATCGGTTTCATAACCAAAGAATTTCTGCACAAACTATCAGGAACTGTCTCAGGGAAGCTCATCTACATGCTCGTTGTCCTCATTGAGGTTTTCGACCTGACTGCAGTTTGTCGTAACTGACTTGAGTGAGCAAATTCGATGGCATCTGGCGCTCTGAAGAGGTGTCCTCTTCACGGATGAATCCCAGTTTTCACTGTACAGGGCAGATGGTAGACAGTGACACCAGATACTGACTGGTTTCCAGACCCCTAGACCCCTCCAATACAGTGAAACTGCACATTTTCAAGTGGCCTTTTGTTGTGGCCAGCCTAAGGCAAACCTGTGCAATACCCATGTTGTCTGATCAGCATCTTGATATGCCACACCTGTGAGGTGGTTATCTCAGGAAAGGAGAAGTGCTCACTAACACAGATTTTGACAGATTTGTGAACAATATTTGAGAGAAATAGGCCTTTTGTGTACATAGAGAAAGTCTTAGATCTTTGAGTTCAGCTCATGATGAATGGGAGCAAAAGTGTTTATCATTTTGTTCAGTATACTAAGCGTGACATTTGACAGGGGAAAAATAAACTTGTCAGTGCTCTCTGCTGTAAGAACTATGTAACTGAGAGAGTATTTCTAAAATTATGTGACATATTTTTATCGGCCCAGCTCCGTACGTGATCATCACAGGTAAAGACATAAAAACAACTAGTGCTGAAACAATTAGTTTCTTCATCAATTAGTTGATCTGCAGAAAACAAATCATTTAGGTCATACATAAAGCAATAACGGCAAACATTTGCTGTTTAAATTACTGTCTCTGAAAAGTAGTGCTGTTTTATATCACTGTAAATTTAACAGTTTTGTTTTGGACTGCTGGTCAGATGAAACAAAGCATTTGAAGATGACACTTTGGACCCTGGGAAATCGTGATGGGCTTTATTTCATCTGTCTTTTAACACTTTATAGACCAAACCAGTGATTCCCACCCGGGTGTCGAAATCTAAAGAAGAGGTTGCAAGTTGAATCTCACAAAGACAGACATATTAATGCTACACAAAATGTTGTTGTTTTTTATCTTTATTATTTTTTCATGTTCCTCTAAATGTTGCTTTTTTAAAATAGGGAATTTCTGGATAATTTAAGGCCTTTAAGAAGAAAACAAATTTTGGTCTAAACTGGTAGACAGTACACAAGCAGTGATGTCAGCTAAGCAGGTTGTGAAATAGTCTGGAGTTGCAGCCCATCAATACTAACAGTCAGAAACACACACAATCACAAACACACAATCATAAACACACATACATACAATCATAAACACACATACACACAATCACACACACAATCACAAAAAAACATTCCTGACAACAAACACACACACACCCTGATTACAGAGCGACAAGAAGAATTGCATGTCCACCCACAACTTCAGACTTTACCATTTGTCCCCCGACACTTTCTCTGATCCTCCCGTCTCGCTCCTCTTCGTCCTCATCCTCCCCCTCCTCCTCTCCTCTGGTGTAGGGGAGTTTCTGGTACATGTAGCTCTCCCCCATACTGTAGCAGCTCCTCTCGTCCTTCGCCTTGTCTGTCTCTCTCTCTCTCTTTTATTGGCTTTCCGTTTTCTGTCTAGCTACTGTCCAGGGGAGGCGTTAGCTCTGCGTCTCTGAGTCTACTTGGCTAATCTCCTTTCGGCTCTGTGACCTTCTCTGTTCAATCGATAGGCATGCACACGCACGTACACAAACGCACCTGGAGGCTTTTTGACGCCACTCTCCGCAGACGTATCACCTAAAGTTATCTATAAACCCTCTCTGTCTTCCCTCCCACTGGTTCTTTCTCTCCCTGCTGACTCACGGCTTCCTGCAGCGTCGGACACCTCCATACATCCCTTTCTCTCTCCATCATTTTTTCCTCCCGCCTCTGTTCTCTCTAGCTCTCTCTCTCCTTCTCGCTCGGCAGCCAAGCCCACCGTCTGATGTTAAATAATTCAGCAGCTCTAACAAGAGGATGAGAGGGATATCGTGGAGGAAGGAGGAGAGAAAATGTAGATGCAAATAAGTGGACAGATGGATGGGTAAATGGATGAATGGTCAGGCCAAAGAGAAATAATAGTCATTTGATAGATGCCAACATGCAGATGGTACAGCAGCTACGCTTGACATCAACCCAAACAAGCAATATATTTGTAAAGGATGCAAATATGATGTGGTAAATTAGCTTTGGGCTGATTTGGGGACCATTTTTAAAGAAACGGTTGCATTCAGTAATAAAGTTTGAAACATTCAGTGGTTCCAGTGTGATTTTATATTATTGTTTGTGTTTTGTGCACAAAACAAGCCATCTTAAGACAAAACAATACTCAAGCCTTTTTTTGAATAAACAATTGGAAAATACAGCAGGCCAATTTATATAATAAATATAACAGTTTCAACCCTAGATTAAGACATTTATCAAGAGAAATGGTCTTATGGCATTAAAACTGAATACTGCTGTTTGGACAAAACAAGACATTTAAACATGACTTCTTGGGTTCTGGGAAATCATGATGGGCATTTATTATAATAAAAAATTAAGTGATAATGAAAATAACTATTTCTTGCACTCCTTTATTTAGCCATGCTAACATATAACATATAATACCTCAACAACTTTAAGAAGGATTGCCATGAAAGTTGACACAGACATTCATGTTTATTTCATTACAGTCGAGATCCCCTGACTTTTGCTCTAGTGCCATCATCACTGCCCTTATGACCAAAAACCTGCAAAAGTGGTATCATTACCATCAGCTTCAGCTACACTTTGTGTCATGCTACAATAGCAAACGTTCACATGCTAGCACGCTAAACCAAGAGAGAGAATTTTGTAAACATTATAGGATACCTGCCAAACACCGGCATGTTAGCATTCAGCTTCTATGCAATGATTTACATTTATTCATTTAGCTGACGCTTTTATCCAAAGCGACTTACAATTGCTATACACGCACGCCTCTGGAGCAACTAGGTCTTGCTCGGGACACAATGGTGGATCACAGAGGGAATCAAACCCAGGCCTCCCACAACAAAGGTAAGCATCTATGCGCCATCACCACCCGATGATTTCACATAGCTACCCTGGATGAAACTGAGGTCAGTATAATATTTCTGAGAGTGTTAATGATATGAAGAGGAGGTTACAAAGTGTTAGGATTATGTAACACACATGTTGGGCTATTTTAAGCTGATTCAGATATTTTTTTTGGACTAAACATGTGACTATATATAGGTAAAAAAAAACGTAATAAATTACTACAGGTTCTTAATATTCTGCATTAAAATTACACACCTTGAAGTGAAGAAAATGTTTTGAAACAACATTTAAACAATAGTGTTTCAGAAACCAGTGAATTAATAAATATATAAAATTTTGTGATTTAAGACAATACGTGGTTGGTGGCTTGTCAAACTGTCTAAATAATTCTCCCTTTGTATTCTCTTCTCTAAATGTGAATCCTGAATCCTGAATAATAGCCTTAATGAATTCCTTCTGTTTACACAGCTTGTCACAGACTACCAAATCACATTTGTAATACATTATATATTTATATATATAAAGATGTCCGTTCACAAACATATTAATTATGGTAACATGAGGAAGATCTGAGTGATATCACAGCATTACTTCAGTTCTTGTTCGGTATGTTTGGTAAAAGCTTAACCGCTGCTTGCACTGAGCTCTTGTCAAAGATAAAAATGTACACACAAATCCAATCTGCCTGATCCTGTGAGCTTAATTTAAAATATTATGAGCTCAAATGTCTTACACTAAAAACTAATATGAATGTGACTCTGGTGCTTGTCTGTTTTCAAATTACAATTTAGAAACAAGGGTTAAAGGCTAGTGGTAAAACACAAATAATGTAATAGTACAGATTGAGAACAAGAAAATACATGAGAAGATTACTTCTAGATGCTGAGCCATCACCATTAGCAACATTTGACAGATAACATGTGCACAAACTGCAGCAGCACTGGCATTAGTGTGCATTATATGCCTGTACATTTCACATGCGTGTTTATGTGTGTGCGTTTGTGCATCAGAGCTTTCATCTCTGCGTGCACAAGTTGTATCGAGGCCGGCGCTCACGCTCTAAACATAGGAAAGCTAAATTTAGCTTACGTTCACTGGCATGAAGAGTGTAGCGATGGTGAGAACTGAGCTGTTTTACTTTGCCTCGTCTCGGCGTCAGACACCTGAAATTTAGTCAGAAGTGTTCACAGATACATTGATGTTTCCCTGTAGGGATTTATTGTGCATTTGTATTCTCGGTATCCTGCTCTGATTACAGTCACAAGGAAACAGCAGGTTTCGGAGCAGCGTGCTTCTGATTAAGAGCATTTACAGTTGAATCAGATAGTCAGTGCTAATTAATCGGACAGGGGAGTAGAAAGGGGAGCTGTCAGACAGCTGGTTTAACAGTTTGAGCCAGTCAGAAGCAAAAAGAAGCACTTTTTGCGGACGTAATTTTGATGGGCACAATTACCCCGATTGACAACGCTGCTGCTGGTTGAAGCCATCTACTGCACAGATTCCAATACTTGTTGTATCTGCTTGTCATTTCAACACAAAAATATGTGAAAACAGGACCCAGATTTAAACATAATGAAATTACCCTTTAAGTTAAAGATCTGAGTACTTTGCTTAGTGCAGTAGAGGCCAGTACAGACAGCCGGGCCTCTCCGAAATGGTGTCATACAGTTTAAGTGGTCTCACCCTGCAGACGTCTTCTGGTGGATCAGGAGTTCAAAGCTGCAGTCAGGAGTGACTGAGGTCACCGGAGGTCACCTGAAGGAGGCCATGGATGGAGACACCCCACATCTACCCACACATACAAAAAGATTTACTACCAGAAAAACACAAAAGAAATACAGAATCTAGAAATGAAAGAACTGCTGAAGAATTGAACTGAGAGACAGAGATAATTAATTATAAATATTATTAATAAATGTCAAATACTCAAAGCAACTGTGAGCTCCAGCTGTCTCAAAACAGAAGAAAGACTGGAATTTGTTTGGGGTTTTTAGCAAACGGCTGGGTGTTTACACTCTACAATTAAAAGCTAACAGTTAGTGGATATGATAGGAAAAAAAGGAGAATGCTGATTTGCAGTCTTTCTTCCAAGGTTTTGTGTCATCAGAATCAAAAATCTACTAATTTTGTAGTGTTGAAACATCAGTAGTGCCTGATTCACTTGCACGTTGTTGGAAGATGCACAGAGAATTCAATATATTTTATACAGTAGACTCAAGATATTTAAATTTGACTACTTTTAGGCCGACACAAATAATGGACTAAAAATTAAGAACTGAAAGGTCTTGACCGATGTGGGGTTTTGTTTGCTTTTGTTTAGAAGATAAAATATCATCTATAGAACTTGTAGGATTTAGTATTTCCCCACCAGAAGGTCTTTCCTGGCGTGTGCAGGAGGCCTAAAGCTAAATCTAAAAGCTTCTTATTCGTTGCAAAAATAAAATGCACAATATGACTTGTAATTGTATAATATAATTGTATATAATTGCACATTTTTCTTTTTTAAATTCTTGATTCTTGACATCTGTAGTACTTGTTTTTTCTTACTTTTATTGTTATGCACCAAAACACATTTCATGTACAGTGTGTGGAAAGGTGTGGAAACCTACTTGGCAATAAATCCGACTGTGATTATAATGGCAATTTAATTCAACAGTTAACTGAATAAATAAAATAAATAAACCATTTTACAACTATTGTATTTCAAAAAATCTAAATAAAATGTGGCTGTGGGGATGGGACTCAATATTTGTAAAATTCTTGGATGTAGTCTGGTCTCAAGTCATGATTTACAATTACAGCACCTCAACACAAACATATACAAGATACTATAAATAAAACACAGAATAAACAGACCCGTGCACACGTAGTTTTTATCTGCAGGGATTTTACCTTGTTGAATGTTGACAATAAACTAAGTTCAACAGAAATACACTTAAACATGTCAAATGAAGACAGAAACAGAGGGACATGTAGACCTATTCATCTGTAACGAATAGAGCAGAATAGATTTTAATTGATCCAGCCTCTGCTTCACGCTCACGCTCCAAAGCTGATTAACCTGCTTCGGTCACGTTAGGCTCCCTGTCTGTCAGTAAACATCTCACCATAACACTTTCACTCTTGTCCACAAGAGTTCAATCTTTTATTTCTATTTATTCATTTTTTTGTATTTTTGCTTTGGTGCAACATGTCGCATCTTGATTGTGGGGAGTAACGAGCAGCCAGAATAAAATACCCACGGCATACCGACCTGGGAAGACTTGAAGGCTCCGCGTGAGAACGATCCCTTCCTCCGACCTCCGTCCGCCGCTCTAAGAGGTTGCACCCCGGCGGGAAGGTGCACCGTTTACCGTGAATCGGTTAAATTTAGCGGATCCGTTATTTTCCTCTCTCTCTCTCCTCCGTTAATTCCGGGACGCTCCTCTGCGCGCCTGTAGGGATTCAGGAGCGTCACTGTGCGTAACCTCACGCGCAACGCAACGCTCCGGTTAAACCATGCACTGTATACAAAAAGGGTTAAACGCTGCTGGCCCGGAATGACCGAAATAACTGCACTTCCTGTTTAGAGGTCTAGGTTTCAGAATAAAAGTTTAAACTGATAATTAATTAAAAAGGCTTATTTTCAACGTCTGGCCATATTTAATTTAATTAGTATTAAATGAACAAAATACTCGTAATATTTGTAATACTGTTAAATAATGTAACATTAAAAATCTTAACATTACCTTAACCTATTATAACAGGATGTGGTAATTTGGAACATACAGGAAATTTAATTTAACTCTTCTGAACCTAAAAATTTACATTTACCTACTAATGAAAACACCTTAATATGAATAAACTTTAAAATCAACAGCCTTAATAATAACTTAGCAATTTGTGTGGGTGCTAAAATCACAACACTCCATTGATTGGGACATATTAGTGGCTATAGTTTAACCCTTTATGCATTTTCAGTCTTTCTGGTGGCCTTAAATGAGCCATATTTGACAATATAAACATTTTCAAAACTACATCTGCCTTCTTAATGCTGCGGCCCAAGAAGCATGAGATAAGATAAGATCAGACATCACAGGTTGCTATATGCCCAAAAGGGTTTATTACACTTTTCAGCTGAACATGAAGGTCACAGAAACAAAACTTCCAAGAACTTTTCAAGTGCAAACATCTTACTGACCAGGTTTTGAAACAGTATTTCAACATAGCATTCAGTATTTTAGTTAGACAGTGAGCGAAAAAAGCAACCTTACTTTTAATTCTTGTGACAGATATGGGAAAGAAAAAACTGTACGAAGCTCAACAGAACAGACATGTGGAAACAAACCAATGTGTTCAAACATGTAATAATCTGAATTATGAAAAAGTGTTCATATTATGGCTTCAATTGTATTGTTATTGTGTCTGTGGTTTTTTTCTGCTGCTTTATGTTCAGAGGACTGATACCTTCTGGGAAAATGAAGGACTAACTTTAATGGTAAGAAAATGGTCAAACAAAAAATTATCTATCAGTGTATGTATTAAAGAAAAAAATATATGGTTGAATTTGAACATTTGATATGATCCAAATCTGTTGAGCTACGCCTCAGTAAAGCAACACAGCAACATGCAGTGAAGAGGAAACACGTGACTGAAACATGCAGACAGAGTGTGGCTTGTGCAATGAATTCATACATAGGAACAGAATCCGTGGTGTTTATAAAGTCACTAACACAAAGAAACACAAGAAAAAAGTCCAAAGCACAAATACACAGGAGAACTGTGCCTACACGCACACACGTAATCCAAAAATAAAAGACAAAAAAAAACAAAATAACGCAAATATGTCAAGTATAAAACTCTGGGAAACACTGTCCCCGATAAGTTGTTCCACCCTTTAAGTGAAATATGAGAGACACTGCCCTCGATAAATACACACTACGTAAAAACACACACACACACACACACACACACATATATACATACGGGTAGGTAAAAACTACCATTACTGCTTGTCATTATGGAAGACACTGCTCCCGATAATGGGTTTTAATTATGGAAGACACTGCTCCCGATAACTCGATCATGTTATTAACTGCTCCAAAGTAGACTGTGCAACATAAATGGCTTTCTTGCAAATTACTGAACAAATCAGAGTTGTTGCACTAAAAATGGAATTTGATAAGGTTTGTTTATGGTTTCTTGGTGGCTTTGTTTTTTTTTTCATCCTGCCATCAATCGCAGATTAAATCCAATCAAACACAGTTTATCTCTGGGCTTGTTGGTATATTAATATAAATTTCATAATATCAAGACAGTTTCAGTTTAATGTTTGTTCTTAGTGTAGTTTTTGACAGATAAATGTAAATACTAACACACATTTCCAAGAAAAACTATTTTCTACCCTTCATTTCTCCCTTTTAATGCTTTTTAATTAACCATTTCAATGATCAACGGAAGCGCCACTTCACGTCACTTTTTTTTTTTTTTTAAACACAAATTACCATTTTAACTGGGATCCACACAAAAGGAAGAAATGAAGGTCATTCAAAATTCAAATCTTAACTTCATCAGGGGCTCCATTTTGTAAGCAACAGTTGAGGAGTCATTTTCTGTAGCAGATGCTGCCAGAGGATTAGACAGTATAACCGTCATAATTATGGAAGGCACTGCTTCCGATAACGTCGTATAAAAAGACAAACAATACATTTATAGTGGACACTGCCACTGATAAATAAACTTAAGTATAAATAAGGTTTCTCAGTGTTTGGATGGCAATAGGTCGCAGCTAAGGCTTTGACTGGTCCGAGGTGTTGGAGAGGAGGCAGATTTGTCATGTTTCATTTCTTCAAGTACTTGGTTCACATTTTTTGAGAATGTGTTTTATATTTTCTACCTCCTCCTGATCTTAGTGGGATCGAGACCCCCCAAAAACTGATAATAAGCCTGTTCTTAAAGGGCGAGACCTAGGCCGGTGATTGATAGCTTGTGCTTAAGTGCTGATTATTGGAGCTCCTATCTCGGCTCTACCTCATATTTAATTTCACACACACACCAACGCCAAACAACTCCCCGTCCATTTTCTTTAGATTTCGTTGTCGATTTCCCAAATGTTGCCCACCATGGCGTTGGCACATCCCTCCAGGGTCCAGGTGGCCAGGGCCAGTCGGGTGCGGAACTTATTCACGTCGGCGGTCTCCACGATGGATGCCAAAGTGTGGGAGCCCCGGCCCAGCAGGAGGTGACGGAAGGGGTTCTCGATGGGGGACACATAAGGAGAGAGGAGGGTGTGCTCAACCTAGAATTATAAAATAAATTTAAAAAAAGACCATAATACATCGGTGAGGTGTTAAGATGTTTAAATGTGCCAAGACATTAAAAGTAGCTTCAAGATGTTGCAGTGTTATTACAGTACCGGTCTAGCTAATGCAACAGCTCTGGCATATTAGAGAGACAGTAAAGAGCTCTGATTCTTAATCCAACAAATCATTGAGTCCTTCTAAATCCCAACTTACAGTATCACCACACTACATTTTTACTGTGCACTCTCAGGTTCATACATTAAGTAAAAAATGTTTAAAGGGGATTTATTATGCTTTTCCATATTTTCTGGGATGTCTATAATGTTAAAATGTCCACTGTTCATGTTAACGTGGCCAAATCGTCAAATAAAGAGGTAGGAGTATTTAAAAGAAATCCCTGTGAGCCAAAACCTCAGATTTCTCCCTGCTCTGAATGCTCAGGTTTCAACATTTCTTTCTACTAAAGGCTGGGTATGACTTCATTCAAAGCCGGTTTTCCATATATGGTTATTTGCTCCAGGCAGAGTACGCAACGGGGTGTACTCTGCCTGGCACTACCGTTGCACTACCACAAATGCTCAGATTTGTACTTTTTTTATTTATTCTTTGACCAGACTTCTGATTTAAAATTGTACATTTTGCCAATTGTGTTCATCAAAAAAGGATTCTGTAGAAAAACGTGTTTATATTCCTCAAAGTAAAAGCGTTCCACCATTGATATGTTTTAATTTTTTTTACAGTCGCAGGAAAAAGTACACACACACACACACACACACACTTGCCTGACCTGGTCTTGTTTAGTGCAGTGGTGACTTGCTTATACAAACTGAGGAGGCACGTGTCATCCTAAAGTTTCTTGAAGGTCTTCAGCCTAATCTGATTCACTTTAAACCACAGAAACACTATTAGTATTAAAGTAACTGCAAATAATCTTTCTCAAAGGCGTTCGCATCAATGGCTCCTCCATTTCAAAGTCCCGGGCTGACTTTCAGTCCCAGTACATTCCTGCTCCTCCTTGTTTAACCTTGATAGTTAATATTATTGTAACGGTTAAAAATTCAACCCTGTTTTTTAAGAACTGAATTTCATTAACAACATTTTAATACAAATGTGGCTACACAGCAGAGTAATCACAGTAGAGCATCTTACACTCATGATCCTGTCGTTGAGGATGCGACAGGCCTCCTTGTCATCCAAGTCAGTCTTGTCGAAGGCTTCGTTGATGCTGGAAGCAGCTCGCTGGAACGAGCCGCGTGCTCGGTTTAGCCAGCTGGGATTCACTTCCTTCAGCTGACCAGACTGCAGAACAAAAATTCAACATATACACCTTTCTGAGAACAGACGTATTCAGTCAAAAACATAATTCATAAAACAATATAAACAATCAAGCACACGCACTATAGCGCTTGTAACCTGGAACACCGATTCTGATTCAGATGGAAGGAATTATTAGAGCATAAAAAATGTCTGACAGAAAGAGAGACCGACCTGTGAGAGTTGGTTGATGTGTCTGTAGACCTTGGCCACACCCTTGGCGAGGACGCTGCTGTATCGGCTCACATCCAGGCTGAGCCGGTGGTCGTGGACCAGCCGCAGAGCCATCTGGCCAGCAAACTGCGCCGCCACCGCTGCCATTTCACTGGTGCGACGGTTGGTTTGGAAATTGAGATTGTTCTTGTTGTCCAGGTCTGTGCCATAGTAAGGGTAGGCCTCAATCTTAAAAGGGGAACAAGATAGGACATTGTTCTTCATTTATGCCAGGGCTTTGCAATGTCTTAGACTGCGGGCCTCCCCTCAGACAAAGCCTGGGAAACAGCGGCCCCCACATCTTTAGTTTACGTGGTAAGTTTCACTCATTTCCTAGATTGAAATAACTTCTGACTACACCAAATAGTTTTAAAAAAAAGAAAGGTCTGTCCTAAGGCATTTATTAGTTTCTGACTGTGATGGGGGGAAAACAGTTCCCAAAAACTACTGTATCTCTGAACTCTCACACATGTCGGCTATTCTATGTGATCTCCTTTTGATAACTAATGCAATAGGTAATGTAATAATGTTTCACTTCCATTCACTGAGCCTCCCCTGAAACTGTTTGGAGCCCCTCTTGGGAGGCCTGCCTCACACTTTGAAAACCCCTGATTAAAGCCATTAACGCTGATTTTTACATTTAAAAAAATAGAAGAGTAAATTTCCGCTGTTTGTTT